CCTGCATCAAAAATGCATCTAGCAATTACAATCGCTGCTTTAGCCAATCAAATGCATGCAAGCACACATTCCTAGTGGAATATACCCTTTAACATTTCTACAGTGTGCACATGTGGTTTGGCTTAGGCAGTACATTGGAGTGCAATAACAAGCTGGGAATGCTTATTAACCAACCTCAGATTGCACCTTATTAACAACCAGATCTGTATCCAATTAGTGAGATATTAGTCAGCAGATCATAACAGCTATTTAAACATTCAGTATATATTTTCTCTTCTAATGTCTTGAATTCTTTCTCTACTTTGACAGTAACTATTTTGCTTTAGCTCATTGTAGCTACATCATGCAATAATTGACCTCAGCCAGCGCTGAGGTAAACGAGAAGGTTGATGTTTTCGTCTACGTTGTACAGTAATTTTCCACTGTATTATTCTCTGTCTGTAAACAGTAAAACTGGGGAATACTTGGATATTCTGGAGTTGTTTCATCATGTGATGTTGCTTAAATTGTTCCTGATATGACACACCTTCGAAATCTGTGAACGTGAACGCACATCGGACCGACTGACTGCCTTCTGGGCTGATTGTGTTGTTGAAGTTGGGACTGGAGTTTTTTTTTTACTGCATTGCATTATGACACTTCACTGTGTGTGTGTGTGTGTGTGTTTGTGTTAGTCAGCATTTGTGTGTAGTATGTACGGTCTGAATGCTCGTGTCACAGAGGGTCCGATCAAAAATGCCTTGCACTGTAAGTGTGTCAGGGTATCTGTGCGTGTTTGTTGTGATGCAGGTTGGCTGCTCAGTATGTGTGTTTTGAGTGTGTGTGTGTGTGTGTGTGTGTGTGTATTCGATGAAGAGGGGAGAAGGAAAAAGAAGAGGGTGCTGATGGTGGAGAGGAGATGTGGAGGGGGCAGTTAGCTTTCACTCAAAGGACCCCACATGTATCCTAGCAACAGGCGGGTTTGGAAATGGGATGGAGAGTGCCCACAAAAATAATACCAAGGAAATGAGAGAAAGCGAGGGAGAGAGAGAGATATGCTAATGTGGATGGAGGCTGTGGAGGTGCAGGAGGTCAGAGGGGAGAGACTGTGGGGGGGGGCACATAAATAGGTGAGGTAAGTACGAAGAAATAGGTGAGGTAAGTATGAAGAAATAGCAAGCACATTTGACCTCAGCCTTTGAAATACCACAAGATTCAATTAAATAATGATGCATGATTCGCCGATCTTTATGAATCAATACTACATCGACCAACAAGAGAGAACCATACGCAGGTCAGTATGTAAACCACCTCACAAGTCCAGTAAAGTAAGTCAATGGGTCTGTGCCCTGTGGAGAAAGGGAGATTAGATAGTTTGCGTTTCAGCATTTCAGTCGGCAATACTTTGTCATGGCTGCTGCAAAAGAGAGATTACACACGCATTCGCATGCAGTCCTGTTTGTTTACCATGCTTATTTTTCTGTTCTGTCAAGTACGTGCTGCATTCAGGCATCTCTACCCTTGCACCCCTCCCTCTCCTCTCTGACTTTGACCCTTCTGCTCGGCCAGCAGAAAGTGGGGGGTTGCTGTTTGTGTCGGTCGGTCGGTTGCATGCTGTGCTGTCCTGTGTGCTGTGCCTTAAGGTGTTCCCTCAAAACACACACACACACACACACACATCCAGTAGCCCACATGTAGTGTGTGTGTGTGTGTGCGCACACGCTGTCACATAAGCTACAGTCCCGGGTTGGTGATGTGCCCTACAACCTCCGGTCCTGTGTGTGTGTGTGTGTGTGTGTGTGTGTGTGTGTGTGTCATGCTGTTTTTGTGTGCACGTTTGTAATAAATCGATGTATTATTTCACACGTTTTTCCTTCCTTCAGTGTTATTGCTTGAAAGACTTTGGTTTGGTGGTTTCACGTAACATTGCGTCCTGGTATCAGAGACAACAAGCATGGGAGCAGACAGCTGAGGACAAACATGTCCTTTCTGTTCTCTTTGTGTGTGTGTGTGTGTGCGTGTGTGTGTGTGTGTGTGTGTGTGTGTGTGTGCACGCTCACGTGCACGTGCTAGATCTCTGTTGTACGGTGGCCCGGCCCTCTTGTGCTGTGCCAATGAGAGGGAAAGGCCACTGCTGGTTCGCTGTAAACACACGTCAGGGAACACAAACCAACTGAATCACATTGGAGGTCCTGGGTCACAGTGGGAGAAATAAAAACGTGAAACCCATGCTCGGGAGTGTACTTAAGATAATGCTGTCGCTTATATTTACATTTTTAAGTTTGTAAAAATGAGTGATGAAATGGTACTGTAGTTCATTCAGGCAGTGCATTCAAATGAGATGTACAGTTTTTACACCCAGTGGTTTTGTTTTTTGTCCCACAGACCATGACATTACCTGAAATGATTCATGGCAGAAACAATTGTTATGCAAATGCATAATTTCTGTTGAGACAGATAGCTGGGTTCAGGGTGTGATTCCTATCAACTCTTAAATAGAGTGTATGAATTTCAAGGCAGTTGTAAATCGTTGAATCTAACGTGGTTTTGCAACCTCAATCTTGTATGTTTTGTTGCTTACGTTGAAATTATGAAAATATTTTTTTCCCTCATTGCGAAAAAGAATTAAAGGAAAAAAGGATATTCTAACATTACCCACACTTAAATGATGCCGGTTGTTTTTCTGATTCATGCAGAGTTGAAGCTGTGGAGTTTTTGGACTGTGCAAACACACAGCTCACCTCTTTTGTTCCTTCAAACATCTTTGAAAAGGATGGCTGTTTTTTTCACAGAATTAGATAGATAGATAGATAGATCGATAGATCAATATAGACTTTATAAATCCCCACGGGGTAATCTATGTGGACCAGTAGCAATACGGTAATTAAAATTTAAAATGCAAATCATTAAGTAAAAATATATTAGTTATGGCTGAGCAGATGAAATGGCAAACTACCCACAGAAAATCGTGAACACTAAAGGATGCGCATCACAACAATGAGGATAATTTGCTCCACATTATTGGTGCAAAAACAGTGAATATGGGTTAAAATTGTGGGGGCCATCTCTCTGTCCTACAAACCACAGCTGTCAGTAACACTACTACTGTCCTCCTGGTCTTTTTCCTCTTTCACACTCTCTTCCTTTTCCCCCTCCTCCTCCTCTTCAGCCGTGTAATTGTAATGGCATTGGGGATGTGAGGGCGGGGTGGGTGTCATTAGAAACATCCCTTCTGTGATAAGATGCAGCTGGTAACCATAGCAACCCTTATTACAATACCTGCACCCAGAGATCAAGAGAAGGGGGAGGAGGAGGGGGAGGGATGATGGGGAGAGAGCGAGAGAGAGAGAGAGAGAGACCGAGCCAGAGTCGGGTAGTGGGTCAAAAGGCAGTGTCCTGATTGTGTGTATGAATTAATGTGTGTTTGTGTGCGACAATTCAGTTCATTGGTTCTTCATTACATGCTTTACATCTGGTAAAGGCCTCAAAGGAAACCCTGCTTAAGAATAATGACACACACACACACACACCCACACACACTCTCCCACACACAGATAGACAGGTGTCCCGCTTCCTGTCGACTGGAAATGTAACACTTTGCCCACACAATAAGTTGTGTCATCTGAGGTAGAAATGAAATACTCCGTTTGGCAGCCGTGGTCTTTTGGGCTCCTGGTGTCTCCACGCTTTCTAGCATCACCTGTATGTCTCCACGTGTGCCTGGATGATTCTTTTGTGTCTGCAGAATACGGCTCCTCTAATGATTATTTTTAGATTAACTTTTGATCGAATGTGAGATAATGATGATCAACTCTGTCGCTCTGTAGAGCTTTTTTTTAAACCACTTTTAGTTAATTGTATGAGATTGAACATTTACTGCACAGTTCAACCTCGTTTCAGACAGCAGGAGCGATTTATTAATAATCCAATGAATCTTTGTTCGGTGGGCTCAGACGGACAAATTAGTGAAGAACATGTGAATCTTTTTCTAAGGAGTGTGTGGAGACCTTCTGATCACTGATCATTGTTTAGGTATGCAACTACTATACTCACTGTAGGTTCTTCTGGGCGGTCTGCGTGCATGTGTGACCCCAGAGACTGTCCATGGACGTTTCCAACTCCTAATTGCACAAAGAAAATATTTTCTTGTGTGGCCGTGATCTCTGGTGTGTGTGTTTTTCTGTCTTTACTCTCATCAGTCCACAACACCTTAGTGGGCACACACGCACAAATCAACTCACCATAATCACACTCGTAGAAACATTCAATCACACACTCACCTGCCCCGTGAGGCACGGCTCTCATTGGTTACCATGGCAATAGCAGGCTTTACCATGTGCTACCAGTTTGCAGCTGGGGAGGGGTGTGTGCGCGCGCGTGCAACAAACCACCTGTTGTTGTCCACTGGCACTTATTGAGTCTTCTGAGCAGGTAGAAAAACCCTCTTCCTCCCTCTTATCTCTCTGTCTTTATCCCGCTCTATCTTTTATGTCTTTCTGTTACAAATCAAATACATTAAACATTAAACATTAAATTCTACCACCTTTTGAGTCATCTTTCCTTCGAGGTACACACTGACACAGCTTTGAGGGAGGGGCTATTCCAGAGAGATAGAACTGTCCTCTGGGAGGTTTGCTTAACATGAAGCAGGTGTAGAAGTTTTTTAAGTATAATTATACATCAGAATTTTTTTTTTACACCATAAACATCGGCATGGAAATGTTTTTTCTTAAGCTTAAGAACATGAACCATGTACCATGTACCATGTCCGGTTTTAAAAAGCACCTTTTCTCTTAAATAGTGCTTTTGTTTTTTTGTCTGTTAAGGAGACTGACAAGGTTACAGCAGACATATCAAATCGAAAAGAGCGCATCTGTTCGTCACCACCCAACCTTATTGGAAATCTTTGTTGCATGCCAATCGTTTTTTGTGTCTTCTATCCGTCTCTGACTCAAACCTTTGAATGAACATTAAGAAAAAAAACATCTGAAAAATGAAAAACTTCTGCCCTGTGTTTCCAGTGTGTGGATGGAGTCTCAGGGGTGGACACGTCCCTGAAGCGCGTGGCGGTGGTGGAGGATTTCTTCGACATCATCTATGCCATGCATGTGGAGATCAGCACCGACCCCAGCAAAGCCCCCAAACACGCCGGCCAGAAGAAGACCTACAAAGCTGTAAGGATCCTATTGTGTTTCCGTTTATGAAATGAAATATCAGGCCATTGTGAGTTTAGTCTGTTTTTTTTTCTTTCACTTTTTTGTCTCTTTTTTGTCTCGTTTTCACGTCTCCTCTGTCTCACGCCAGAGTCCGACCTCCCCTACAGAGTAGATTCTCTCTGTCATACCTTTTGTTTTCTGTTGCTTAACTCACTGCTTCTTCCCCCACCCCCTTCTCTCTCTGTCTCTCTCTGTGTCTCTCTTCCTCTTCTTGGCTCTCATTCCTCTTTTACTCTCAGGCAAAAACAGGAGGAAACTAACAGGAAGCATAGTTTCAGTTTCTGATCAGCAGGATTTCAGTTTGATTCGGTCTGAAATTAAACTGGCAGACACGTCAAGTCAATTTCTACTTTTACTTTATGGGTTCATTGCCATTTTGTTTACATGTCCTTTTTTCCCCAAAGAGTTTGATTTGTTAATTTGTTAATTAGTTGAACAACAGAAGAATAACTGGCAAGCATTTTAAGTCATTTAACACTATTGCCAAATAGTGCTTTTATGCAATAATACATTCCAGAACGTTTAGTTTTAGAAGGCTGGAAACAATTCAATCAATTAATGGTTTTGCTTAAAATACTTGACGGTTTGGAGAATGATATCAAGCTCTAAAAACCTTGCTTGCTACAGCCTCTGAAAGACCATAACGTCCGCTGAAGGGGTTGAAAGCTGAAAGTGTAACCCAGCAGTTATATTTTGAACACTACAGAGAGGTAATGGAAAACATCCTCACCAAAACAATTGAACTGAATCGGTCGCAGACGCAAACGGTCTGACTCCTCTCCTCATCGGCATCAGTTATTCAACAATTTATTCTCTGGTCTTTTTATTAATTAAAACTTTATTTTTGTTGTCCTGTCATTTCCTTTTATTCATCTCACTATCATGGGAGTACATTTATTCGGCAGCTAATGATGCTGACTTCACTGAAACACAACAGAAAATATTTATTATTTTATGTTTCAAACAGTTCTATTTTTGAAAACTTTTCCTTTTAATTGAGGATGTTGAAGTAGATGTTTAATTATATTGTGTAATTTAGACTTCTGTAGTTGATACCTTTCTGCTGGGATTTCTCAGCTGGTGACACTGCCATCTTTTGGTGAAATGGAGGACGTGCACCTGTCACGGACGTTTTCGTCTGCAGAGGCATGAAACTGACATCTTCGTTCGAATTCTTTTTCTAAAAAATAATTAACATTCCTTTTTTCTATTTAGTCTCCTTTTAATATTTTGTATATATATATTTTCTTTTTTTGACTCGTTTCCGAGCTATCGATTTTCTTGCACGGATTGGTTTTGCTACTAGTAAAGTACACATAGTTAGTGCACCATCCCACATGGCTTTCCGGTCTTAGTACCTCCAAAGGCATTGAGTGACATTTGCCTTTGCTTTCCTTTACTCCCTCCCTCCTTCCGACACACACACACACACGCGCACACGCACACGCACACATAGATACATATGCTGCACAGCAACCCCCATCCACCCACGCTGAACATTTTCCATCCCTCCTCCTATTTTGTTTTATGCCTTTGTGAATAAATACATTCAAACACACACTAACATTAAGACCTTGGATGTTTACGGCTCTTTTGAGCACACCCCAGTTTTGCCATTTTTATTTGGTGAGATGAAAACCACATGATTTGGATGATAACACTCCCGATAGAAATAACAGAAAAAAAGTGTAAAACTTCTGTTTTAGTGTCAATCCCTTGAATTGTTGTAATGTTTTTATTTAGAGGGATTTAATAGATCAGATGTCATTTATATGATGCTCATTCATTCTTTTCATTCTTTTACACATCATCAAAACATGCATGCTAGTGGAATATGTTTTAATATGAAATTCAATTTCAAAGATTAGGAATCAACAAAAAAGATTTCAATACCGCATGTCTGCACTCCGCCTCTGTCCAGATACCAATGTTCAATAATGTTTTTGTCATTAAGGCTTTAAAAAGTAGTGAAACAGTTTGTAATTCTACCTCTGTTGCTGCGTCTCTCTCAGATAGCCGAGACGTACGCCTTCCTGCCCAGGGAGGCAGTGACTCGTTTCCTGATGAGCTGTGGAGAGTGTCAGAAGAGGATGCACATTAGCACCACAGGACAGGACTACAAAGGTACAAACACAACACTGCAGCAGACGTCCAAGTCGGTGACTCCTCTCATCTCCGTTTGAGTCGGAGCAACCTTTTCTTCATGCAGCACAAAATCTATAGGCGATTTGGCACTGAAAGGTACAGGCCGGTTCATTGAAGACCAACTGTCTCAGTTTCTCTAACTCGCACAGAGGAAGAGCGAGCGAGAGAGAGAGAAAGCATCAGTTGCCTCTCAAGCGTCAGTCAGAGAGACCGATGTCAGTCAGATATACAGCTGCTTGTTTTTTCCTCCCATGGCAGTTTGTGTCATAGTACAAAACGTGTGCAGCTGTTGTGTCTATACACCTGGAGCATCCTGTTGTGAGCATCGGCTTGAACCGCGGCACGCCTATGTATTACAACAGCTGTGGGAAGCAGGCACAACAACCTCACCAGCTGTACAACGTTCCTCTAATATCTTATATACTTGACTTTGCTATTATCACGTCATGACTTGACATGAACTTGCACTAATCAACAAAAAACAGAGTAAAAAATCCTGTAAAAACAACTTTTCCAAATGTAGGTCTATAAAAACCTATGAATAAATATACTGTTGGCCATGATTTCAAGTATCCTTCAAATTAAATACCTAGTTTTCTCCCGGTGCCTGCCAAATGTTTCTGCTTTGTGAAATTTGTTGCCTACATTTCCCACAATTCAACGCAACCTCTGACCGTTCTGTCCGGGTTGGATATGTCTTCTAGTAGCAGCTGATGTACAAAATATTCTAATTAAACTTTCCCAGATGGAGATTGTAAACCGTTTACCAAAGTACATGAATTTAAAGCAGACCAAATGACACATAAATATATCAGTTTGTCGAGTATGGATCAATGTTTATCCAGCATGTTCAACTAAACATCTGACTTCTGCGGTTCTAGTCAGTCCTCTCCCACTCATTTTAATCTGTGCATGTCAACAAAGGCCAAAGCCAAAATTGTAAATGCTTGCCAGCTAAACCTCTTTATAAAAGCTTCCACTTTGTTTTTTCTTGATCAAGTGCACACTTTCGGACAGTCAGACTGGGAGATCAATAATAAGGATAATGGGCCTACATGAAGTCAAAGGTCACAATCGCACTAGTAAATGTAGAAATCCGTTAGGAAAGAAATAAAATGATGCTGTGGCAGGGCAGTCATAATTTTGTCCAATCATATCATTTTTCCCAATGAATTTAAGAGCTTACTGTCTGCCTTCTTACCTGACTGCACTCAGTCTTTAACTTTGACAATCTTTGTCGTTTGATAACTGCTTATACATTTAAAAAAATGATTTAGACCAAGGTATTATTGGCTCGTAGATTTCAAAAGAGCAAAAACATTAACATTAAAAGCGTTACCAGTGTAGTATTGTTTTATGGACGTCTACCAAACTAGTTTTGTTACAAATGTCTTTGCAACGATGGGAATATGAAACGTGTATCCGTTTGAGGTTAAATGATGTCCTCAATCATTCAACAACCAGTACCTCATTTGTATATGCTGGAAAACAACAAACTGCCATCCATTTTACATTCCTCCCCATCTTCTTCTCTTCCTCTCGCCCATTATATATTTTCTTCTTTTACCCTGAAGGCCTTGCACACTCGCATTCCTCCTCCTGCTGCCCTTTGCTACACCCCCCTTCAGCTTGTCTATTGTTTTCTCTCCTCCTTTATCCTTTCCTCCAAGCTTGCCACCCACCATCCCTGCTTCCAGCTCTTCTTCTCCCTCCCACTATCCCCCCTACACTGCTCCAAGCTTCCTGTCCCGTCCCTGCATCCCTCAGTGCCCCCATCCCCCTTTCCCCTGTTTATCTTCTCCGTCTGCCCGTTTCTATACCCTCAATCCATCCCTCCGTCCTTCCCTCACGCACTCCAACACCCAACCCCCCCTCCACCCACCACATCCCCATCTTCCCTCTTTTTTCTGCCTCGTCCCTCATTAAACAGAGGAGTCATTGGAGTGTCCTGTCCCTCTCCTCAATTAGCCTAATTAATGGCTTTTAGCAAAGAAAATGGCCCAGGAAACGAGATAATTTCCCACAGATACGGGGTAGAGAAAGATGCAGTGCCGGGTGGTGGGTGGGGGTCTGTAGTAAGAAGAGACTTTGGAATTTAGAAGAAGAAATGTCAGTCTGCACAGAGGACGAAAAATGTCCTCCATGTGATCCAAATTGTTTGCTTGGACCAGCTGCTCATTTGTTTAAACAAGAGGCTTGTTGTAAAATCGTATATCTTTTCCTAACAGGACTTAATATTAATTATTACATTACAAGATGAATAAATCTGAGTAAACAATCAAAAACGTACACACTCACAGACTAATTACAACAGCTGTAATACTCAATGTGTGTGTTGTGCCACATCACTGTATGCCACTCAGAGAGAGCATCTAATTGCCTTCATTCCCTGCGGGGCTTCTGCCTCACCCCCGACACACACACACACACACACACACACACGCATAGACATACAGCCTCGGCCCTCTTTATCGCTATCGTGAAGTGACTCCCACTAAAGTTCAGCTGTGAATTATTAAATGCAATTAATCAGCGTAGACCAGGTCCATGTTTAATTGACACAGGCAGCTGGCTGACAGTGTGTGTGTGTGTGTGTGTGTGTGTGTGTGTGATTAGGGAAAGGTTGCTTCTTTTTCTATGCGTCCGTATCCTTAGTCATTAGGTTCCCTGGTTGGGTTGTCTGGCCATTTGTGCGTCCATTACATTCTTGCGAGTGCCGAAGGGAATGTCTTCAAATTTGGCACAACACCATTCAAAGGTGAACTAATTACAAGCTTGTGGTCGAGGGGCACTGCGACCACACAAAACACCCTTTTTGACCATAACTCAAGATATAATAATATGCTAATAATGACATTTCATACAAATGTATAGTCCGATGACATTTTGGATAAACAGATGTAACTGACATTTGGACTGCTTGGCGGAGGCGTTTATCAAGCACGCTGTCATTGTAGCTCAGGTTGAGACGAGCTTGACTCTTATTTGAAGCGCATCACACAGCAAGAGACCGACCTGTATCGCTCGTAGTGTTAAAACAAAAGAGGATGGACAGTGTTCTAAGCTGAATTCCACATTTCTGGCCTTTATAGATAAAATCCAGTTAACGTGAGTAATGCAGAAGAAAGATAAAAATACTTTAGCTGGAAGCCAACAGTCAATTTATCTACGACTTAACAAAAATAACACTAGGAAGTCATCAGGTTCATGTTTATGCATCTACGTGCTAAAGTTGCTATGTGTCTTGTGTTATGCAGATCATTTTGACTTGACGTTTTATTTGTCTTGACGCCATGTATGTCTTATTGTATTCTCCTCAACTTTCAGTACTCATGGGCTGCTGGCAACTCCTAACCAACAATCAGTCGTGGTTGACACTTTTTAAATTTAGTTTGACACATTTTAGAATCTTGAATCCATTGAACTGGTCAGTGTTCTGGTGCTTGTACATTGTGTCGGTTTATCTCCGTCTCTGGAGAACACATACTCTATATTTCTCCCGTCCTCCAACAAGTCTTTCAATCACCAATCCGTGGTGACGGCCCTGTCTATTCCGTAAGCCATATTGATCCCAGTATTCACGCCTGTTCTGTAGGCATCCCAGACGTTAGACCCGTCATTTACAAGGTCGGTAGATAAATAACTGCGAGCGGAGGCAGAGGAGGAACGTGTGGGTGGAGATATTGCCATTTTTCATGTGCTTTTATTTTCTGTGGGGGAAGAAGTGCAACTGAGGATGGATGCCTCTCATAGTAGAACAACATGTGTAGAGAATAACCAACATGATGAATTTCCAGTATGGTGAATCAGATCCAATTATAGATCACAGTCAAACATCTGGTATACAGGCGGTTAGTTTTTTTTTGTTCTTTGAAAAAAAATCAAAGAATAAATAACTGAGAAGTTTAGTTTGGATTGAGTGACTTTCACACAGTAGGACTGCCTCTGTTAGTCGGTGCTGCTCCTCCTCCAGCTCTAGAGGGTCCTCTAGTGTTGGCTTACCGACAGGGCATGATAATAGACACTAGCGTTAGCATTATTAACTGCTTTATGGATAAAAAGCTTGGGACAGAATTATTCTTGTACAAATCCTGTTTGATTCATTCACTTGTACTAAAATAGTCCACTCACAGTGTTCATTTGGGGTCTTTCCACACATCACAACATATGAAAAAATTACTAACAAATTACGGAAATTCCCTTTTTTAAAACTTCAACGTGATACTTTGCTGCTGGTGTGACAGACTCAGGATGGGAAAAGGGAAGAAATTGTCTCAAAGAAAAACATTTGCCTGTTGTTAATACCATTCAGTGAACGACGCAGCGCTGTCTCATAACTTCTTATTCATGTAATGAATACACAAAGGTAAATTAGTAAATGAAATCACATCATATATATCCGTAATGTTACTGTATCATATATTATCACAGGTAGAAAAAGGGGGGAGAGATTGTTGTCAGCGGTCAATGATTGTTTCCCCTCTGTGATTTCTCCCTGTCTTTCCAGAGAACGACAGGCCGAGCTCTCTGGTGTTGGAGGTGATCGACTACAACATGCCCCTCACCACCACCTACATGAAGCACATGAAGCTGCAGTGCATGGGCAACAATAAGGTACGTGCGGCTGCTGCCACCTAAACAACAGACTTTCTGGATCTGATTCCGGCTCCGGTGTGAGGATGAATTCATGTTTCTTGTCCGTGCGGTCGGACAGAATCTAGGCTGTGTGTGTGCGTGAGCCTGTGCACCCTGACAACCCAGGACTTTCCCTGTGAGCTCCTACAGTAAATCTCGACAAACCAGCAGGAGTTTTTTTTTTTTCACACTTCAGTATGGCGTACATGCGTGTGGGAGTAAACCACGAGGCCCACTAATGCCTTTCTGGAAAGAAAACTCCCACACACACAGGCTCGCAATTAAAACACTAATGAGAAGAATGTGAGGTTTTCTGTCTCCGAGTCTTGAAGGTCAGTAGAGTAAAACCGTATGAAAGAGTGTTGTTTGTGTATATTCTGCTTGTGATCGATTTGAAGATGTGAACAAATTACATTCAAAAATGGTTTAGAAAGAAAAGGACGATTGGTTGTTCCTCTTGGCTTGGATTGGTGCTTAAGCAGTTCAGTGTGCGTGTGTGTGTGATAGTTATCCTGTACCATTGTGACTATCAGTGCCCCACACTAGCTGTCAGTCATATTCCCTGTTTGTTTGTATGTGTGTGTGTGTGTGTGTGTGTGTGTGTATATGTGTGTGTCTAGATAACGGGTGGGCGAGCAGAGGGTTGAGCTCATTCCAATTAAGCCAGGCCCCTGAGCGTCGAGTTAATTAGTTACGGAGAGAGAGACACTGAAGTACCAATTTACACTGGAAAGCCAATCTGTCTTTCTGTCTATCAGCGTGTCAGTCTTTCTTTCTGTCCGTTTCTCTAAGACACACACACACACACAGCATCACACCTGCAGTTGTGCCGGTTTGTTTGGAGACACCACGTCAAAGCCATTCCAGTTCGTTTGCGATGACATATTGACGAGGTTCTCATTATCATCCTTGTTAGAATTTTAGCAATGAATAAAACCAACATGCGCTTTCACTTATAAAAAAGTAAAAGGCAAAAGGTTTTTACCATCAAGTCACTGTGAGTTTGACCCTTTAACTTACCCCGTAATGGTTGCTTTTAGTTTGAGGAAGTAAAACTCATTTAAATGTTGTAACACAAGTTCAAGTATATGTCAGTGTTGTTGAATTGATTTGCATCAAAAGCAGCCTGCAAATGATAAATATAATATGTTGGTGCTGTATGCAGTCGAGTGATGACTGATAATTGATCAATACTTCTCCTCCAATGGCCGCAGCTGTCAATATTCACAATCTTCAGAATCTCTCAGCTTGTCAAATCGTTTGGAGGATTTCACGTCAGTCATGGTGAAACTTTTGAGACGGTATGCTTTTATTTAAATCTTTGTTCATTCAGTCAAATAAAGACACATCTTTCATATTATACTTCATCTTCGTTGTCGAGGCCAATAACTGCAGTGCAATGATATGAATGTACTTAATTTTTATTTTAGTATCACTACCATACATTTTATTTTCTATTTGTCTCACTGTGCTGAAAGGGATGATTTCTAAAGTAAACTTTAGAGAAGCTGCATCGTTTCTGCCGTTCATTCGACCTCCAACCTCGTACACCTCCAGCTAAATACTCATGTACCATGTATTTGTTTGAGTGGACCGTCTTTCAATCCTGTCACTCTGATTTCAGGTGATCTTTAGCGGAGAATGTGTGTGTGTGTGTGTGTGTGTGTGTGGATGAGACTGTGCAGCATAATTATTATAGCGTTCAGCCCAGAGGCGCAAATGTAAAGACAGGAATAGAGTAACAATGACTCACTCACCTATAGAAATAACAGACACGGGGGAGCTTTAGGTTCTGTGTGTGTGTGTGTGTGTGTGTGTATGTGTGTGTGTGTGTGTGTGTGTGTGTGTGTGTGTGTGTGTGTGTGTGTGTGTGTGTGTGTGTGTGTGTGTGTGTGTGTGTGTGTGTGTTTGTCTGTGTGTGCAAGATAGTTCAATAGTATAGCATTCTTTGAACAGAAGGTCTGAATCTGAGGGAGAAAAGAAGGGAAATAGGCAGCGAAGGACATCTGTAGAATTTCTCAAGAGAGAACATGAGCCAAAGGGAAGAAGAGGAAGTACGGCATATTTGTGAATCCTCCACTGGCTCCATTAGCACATCCCAAGCCAGTGTTCATCTGCCCATCCCTTTATCTTTTGCCTCCATCCGCCCCCCCGTCCCCAATTCAATAAGGGGGCAGGACATTACACAGGATGCTTGTCATATGGGATGGAGGTAGCGCGGACGTGGGAACTCGCAGGAGCCAGGGGAAAGGGGGGGGGGGGGGGGGGGGCTACTGCCGACAATGTAGCACGTGGGTAAGCAGTCAGAGAGAGCCTGGAGAGAGGGGGAGGGAGGAGAGCGAGGTGGCTCGCCCCCCGCCCTCTATCTGGCTGATGGAAGGAGGGAAGATGGGGAGGAGGAAGGAGTCAAAATCAGCATTCTAGCGGAGGGATGTTTTCGGACGGGGTGAAAATTAAAAAATGAGAACATTTGTAGGGGAAGGCGGGAGGCAAGGGGGAGGAGGTTGGAGGATGATTCAGAGAAGGAATTAAAAAAAGGAGAATGAGGTGGTTCATTATCGTTTATGGTCTCCCGCTCTCCCTCACCCTGCCCATTATTTCAGCTACCTCCGGAGGAAAGACATTTCATTATTTTTTGGAGGAGGGGTGTGTGTGTGTGTGTGTGTGTGTGTGTGTGTGTGTGCGTGCGTGCGTGCGTGCGCGCGCAGAGGAGAGATAGGATGGGGGTTGGTCTATTATAATTACAAAAAGACCGCAGAAGAGAATAATTTTTTTCCAAGATCATTTTGGAGTGGATCTCTAGTCTACCACCAGGATCTCAGTGATGTCTTTGTTGCGCCCTGCAGAAAGTTTGGGTCCAGTGTCTGGAGTCATGTTACAGAAGACAATGTAATTTATAGGGCAACGTTCCTCATGTGAAACTGATGTGTATGATGGGGAATCATCAACACAGGAATGGTAGAAGAAATGCTGTGTGTCTGTATGGTGGAACCAAGTGGAAACGTATATCTGTTGAACTGTAAAGGGCCTTGAACTCAGCCTTGTGGGACACTACAGTAATTGTCAGTTTAAAACACTTTTTAAAGTTGGTTGTGATCATACATAGAGCATAAGTGTTTACAGTGTCCAATACATGACAGACTGTATAAAGTCACATTTAAATAAGAGTGTATGAATTTAAGGTGAGCAAATGGAGGACTCTTTCAGATCATTACGGGTGAAGGTGAAGGAATATTCATCGTGCCACCGGTAGTATGATGATTTAAGCGTTGACGCATCTATTAGTTCCAATTATTTTTGTTTCTATATCTGAGACTTTTTCCTAGAACAAGTAAACAAATTCATGGCAATTAAGTTCATGAGTACAGTACAGCTTTATCTTGAAACATTCCTCCCTCCTTCCCTTACTTATTTAATGAGCACCCATTACAAACCCCAGTGTCAGGGGTCTGAGGCTGGCCGACTCCCCTGAATCCCCAAAACATCACTGTTTGCCCTTTTGTTTCTTTAGGTGGAACAAAATAAATGTAACGCCAGCATTACCTCTTCTTTTAAACTAAATCTCTGGCCAGATGTTAGACAATGCACCTTTCTAACAATATGCTTATTAACATTATGTTTGGATGTGGGTGTAAATGATTAACTGAAAGTACATTATAGACACTGCTCTGAACTTTCTCATTAAGATACATGGATTTCACGCAGGTGAGAGTTATAGAGCACAATTTGCAGACGACAGTTCTTCTCGTTAGATTGTCTGTCTTGTTGGTTTGTCGTGGTGATGAACACATTCTAAAAACCCTAAATGCATCTGCTGCATCAGACTCAGACACAAAGTGCTGGTCAGTCTTGCAGCCCTTCGGATTGGGTTCTCACCAGGGGCATGACCTTTATCAGGTCTTATCCTCTCACCAGCTGCCCGACTCTCTCCAGTGTATACTGTCCAATAAAGTAGCAATGCCATGGAAACCGGCCTGAAAGAAAATCCCCTTGATGGTTTGCAAGTGCACAGCACATTGAATATGAAGTATGGGGATCGCTTCATGTCTCATGTGTCCCTTTTCATGCTCAGTCTGACAGGTGAGACTACATAAGACTTAACTCGCCCGCCAAAACTGTACGATGAGAGCGAAGGTGCACGGAAACCAACACAAAGCCAACAGTACAGAGGGGTGGAACGCCCCTTGAAAGTTGTACAACATGACACAAACACTCATAACAACACTGCTGCGACAAAATCTCAAAGCAACGCTGTGAATCTCTGGTGGGAACTGAAACGTCACCAAAACGTCCCTCACTTAAAAAAAAGTTGCCCTGATGTCCTTAGACATAAAAAAATGACCTTGTAAAAATAAAAGTAATAAAATTATATATTATCATCCACTTAATTATAACTTACCAACTGACCAAATGGCCTTCATTTTATTTTTTCATATCCCTTTAAATGCCTGTTTCTTCCCACTATGCAATTGTTCTTATTTCATTTTTCAACCATGAAGTAAAGAATTATTTCCCCTACACTAAATATATTCTCGCAAAAAAATACCACTTGTTACCTTGATAAAATGAAAAGGTCCCCATAAAGATACGGTTATGAATTTACTATATATTTCAATTATTATCCAATTTCACAAATCTTTGAATAAAAATGTATAAATAGTGTCAAATGTTTTAATTTTTTAATCTAATCTGTAAATAATGGCATTACCAAACAAACTAATCACACTTGCGGTCTGAAAGCTTGATCTTTCCATTGAAAGTTTCAACATCTTCAAATTCAGCTCTTTTTATAGAGTTTGAATTCTCTTTCGCGCCACGCACCGTTTTTCTGTTAAGCAGGTCTTACACATCCTTATCGACACATACTCAAAGCTGCAATCCCCTCAGCACTCGGCCCTGAGCGAGGCCATGAATGACTAATCGACAGCAGTTCCACCCTGTGCCTACAGGGGGCAGGTTTGTCATGGAAATGTATGAGA